ACCACAATAGCTTCTTACAACGGAAAATCCGTTGGATTGAGCATGTTTATGTATGATATTACCAAGTTCTCTATACTTCTCACCTGGTGTAACTGTTCAATAAGAAACATATTTGATGAATTTAAAATAATTACCTGATAAATAATATATTTAATTTACCTGCATTTATAGCCTTTTCTAAACATTCCCAAGTAACATTCACTAATTTTTCTGCAGTTTTAGAAACATTTCCAATAAAAAATGTTTCATTCAGGTCACCATGATATCCTCGATGACATACAGTAACATCAACTGTGAAATGTAATACATATTTATTATTGGGACAAATTTAATTTTTTATTCTAAAAATTATTTCTCAAACCATTGCAAATATCTCCATTAATTAAAGCTCTCATGTCAGGTATTCCGTGACATATAACTTCATTTATAGATGTACAACATGATTTTGGGTATTTGTAATAATTTAATGGTGATGGATAGCATTCTTTTTCAATGCACGCTTCATGCACAACTCTATCAATTTCATCTGTGGTTATTCCAACATCAATCATTAATGCTACTTCATCTAATACTTCTCGCCCAAGCTTGAAAATAAAATAAATCAAACAATTGCCACATACATTTCATTTTGATTACATTTGATTTACATTTAATCACATCATATTAACATGTTCACTGCGGATGACGCCAATTGGCGTACAAATCAACGTATGATAGCTTAAGAGGACGTGATACCTGCATGTGTTGTCTCTGTCTTACAAGTGCATTATATAGTAAATTTTAYGTTCAGCAGAACACATGTAGCTCCGTTTGCTTAAAAATTAGAGTGAATTGACCTCTTATAAAATATAAAGGTATGATTGTTATCTAGTCAACCTCATATGCTTTTTAATATATTTAAATTTTAAAGGAAGTTATGAGTATTTTAAGATGCAAAAAAATTCACAATTTTAAAATACTCATAACTCGCTTTAAATTTGATATAAAATAAAAAGCATATAAGGTTGTCTAGATAATAATCTTACCTTTAAATTTTATGAGAGGTCAGTTCACTCTAATTTTTAAGTTAACGGAGCTACACGTGTTCTGCTGARCRWAAAATKTACCATGTTACGCATTTGTAAGACGGAGACAACACATGCGGGTATCACGTCCTCTTAAGCTTACGATCAATTGTCTCATTTTCAGTCAGCGTTAACTAATACATATTAGTAAATACGTTTGTTCAAGTCATTGATATTTCTATTAATAGTCTATAATATTTTAAATCTTTTCTGGGATGTTTACTATACCTATATTTAGTATCWGTATTTTCAAGAAATGCACAATTGTGGTTTTCATTTTTTATCGACGATTGTTGATAAAACACAAACATATTCAGGTTGTATTGTTTTTATAGATTATAGAGTTAAATCTTAAATTATCTGTATTTTATTTCTTCACAAATATTTTTTTTATTCATTTTGTTTACTTTTATGAATATGGAAAATAGTGACAAATACCTGGACAATATACTTTGAATGAACCYGCCGGCCCATCTCAATCAAAATGAATATACAGTTTGAATCAAAATTATTAACAACAAATTGAGCAGATGATTTTTGACTCTGATAGTGACGAATATCATGATTTTTCTGATTCTAGTAGCGAATATGGATTTGAAAATATTGAACAAATTTCAGATGAATTTAGGAATGATAACGAGATTGCGAGTATTTAAAAAATCGTAAATACTCGATTATCAACTAATATTAATAATATCGGTGGCTGACAAGAGGAGAAAATTAAAATGTTTAATTTTCCTTTTGGAAAACAAAGTGAAATGTAGGTTCCGATAGGAGAGGAATAAAATCTTATAGATTTTTTTTTATCCTTTTCGATGACAATTTGATAAAACTATTGGTCGATGAAACAAATGATTATACTAAAACGGAGTTCTTAAGTTTTGGTAGTGCACCACATTCTCGTATTTCAGAATGGAAACTGATAAATAAAGACGAAACATTTATTGGATTGATAATTCAAATTTTGTCATAAACTATGTTTCAAAACTTATAAACTTAGTAACATGTTTACTTTTAGTTGTTTATAAGTTTAATTGTATGGTAAAATAATAAATAATATAGCAAGTTTTGTAAGATAGTTGTGAGTAATTTTTTAGTATTGTATAATAAATTTGAGACATGACGGCATACACGCAATGGCAATGGTATAAATCAGCATCAGATAAAAAAAAACGTGTTTATGATGGTGCAGATGATGCCAATTGGTGTTAACAAAAAAAAACCTTGAATTATCTCCGCAAAATTTAAATATGTATTGTAATATGATCCATAGTGAAAGTGTTAAGTATTTACATATTTTATTTTAGATTTGGAATTCAAAGTATCTAAATACCTTGCAAGCAATTTTCATTTGTTCTTGTTCCTCATCGTTTAATACTTTAATGTGGGATGATAATTTTACTGATTGTTCACTTAAAGGTGTGCCATCAGGATGTTCAGCATAATCAGGTTTTTGTATGTGTTCAGGAACAGTACGTGCAGGAGACGTTCTATGAGGTCTTAATGGACCTAAAAAATAAAAAATGTATATTGTTTAATTGATGAATATGTATTTTAATTAACCATTTCCTATATCGATAACTAATACAAAGATCACATAACCGTTCTTCTTTCACTTCTACTTTGAAGTATGGTATACTACTTATGATTTTTTATTATAATTGTAAATAGGGTAAATACAATTATTATTTTTTTATTAAAATTTGGTAAATTACTATTTCAATATGAAGGGATAACATTTACTTTACCTGTAAATACATAATCTGGCCATGGATTAAATGGTTCAATAATACCATTTGAATTTTCTGAAACAAAATTTAAAAACAAAATTATATTATTTAGGTAATTTTAACATGGATACATACTTTCAAACAAAAATTAACTTTATCTTTAAGGTATTACATTGGTTCTTCTATGGTTAATCGACAAATTTTCCTTTAATGCTTACCGACTTTTTGTTGATTGGGATTATTTGTCGATTAACAAATGACAAATAGTGTATACCAGTAGTATACAGAGATACAGACATTAATTTAGATCCTTAGAAATGGAAAGATAAGTCTTTATTTTCATAAATTAATGAAATTCATTATTTTAATTTTCAAAAAACAATGTTTAAATAATAGCTTTAAAACAATATGTTGCAATTGACAGTAAAACGTTTTTAACACACACATTTAATTTAATGTTAGATATTAATTTTTGTATTGTATGTAAATTTTTAATGATACAAATATAAATAATTAAATCTTACAACCTTTAAATAGTTAAACAAAAATTCTAAATAATAAATATTTATTAATATTATTTTTATTATAACTATAAGAAAATTATACTTACGGCCAGCTTTATGAAGAGCTTTATGAGTAGACCAGTTCCCTTTAAAACACTCCTAAGAAAATAAAACATTTTAATTGTAACTTAAACACAAATGTTAACAATTATCRAACATTTTTTCATAATTTAAAAATTATAATTATAAAGTAAGCATTAAGATTTAAAGTTCAAAAATACAAACATCTATATAATATAAATTTAAATAAGGTATCATTACTATCTAAATTTTAGAAATATATTACACGGGCCTACCTATTTTCATACTAGGTTAAGTAATAATTATGTACTTAAGTAATGAATTTGTAAAACAAAGAACTAACTTAAAAGATTTCAGATAAAATTTTCTGATTTCACTAGGTCTCTATAAGGTTTTGTTAATATTAAAAACAGTTTACATACCTATTAAAAATGTATTTTCTATTTAGCATAATATAAACATACATATTTACCTATTGCGTCCAAATAATTTTTAGAATACAGATAAAGAAAGTTAAATTTGATTTAACGACAGTTTCATTAAGAATATTAATTAAAATAAGAGGTACAACAAACTATGATGCCGATTCTTTGTAAATTAACATTTATTTACTTACTGGATGTATTTAAGAATCATCTAAGATTAGTGTAAGCTGTACTTGAATTAATAAAAAAAAAGAAGTCAGAATGCATAAAATATAATATTATCCATTTGGTACTCTCATAGACCATAGTATATTTGTTGTTAGGAAAAATGAATTCATTCAAATTMAATTCATAGGCTACCTAGTRGCTAGTAGTAKTTATACTGTGTTAGTAATGGTTTTTCTCAGATGAAATAAATTACAAATATCAAATCTATAAAACTAACTTTCTATCACAATTTCTTAGCTGAAATAAAGTTTGCATAAGTAAAACTAAATAAAAAATTGTGCATGCATGGCCCATGCAATCTTATCGTAATAATTCAGCTGTTAACGACAGACCGTCAATCGTCATACAAGTAATCACATTTGCTCAAAATATTATGCACTGAAAACAAAAGGACTTAACTGAATACTAAAGACTATACTAAAGAGAAAATAAAACAGATAGTGTATCAGCCATTTATAGCCATTCGGTAACATGCTTATGACATATACACTAGTTAGAATACCAACATGTAATGGGAATATGTTCCAAAATTTGGAAAAATTATCATTAACAATATTACCTGAGAGCAAAAATAGGAACCGGGGATTTCAAGTTTAATGCAGGTGGGACATTGAAGATTTGCTTTCGAACCACATCCTGCCGTCTCGCACGTTCTATTAGCCAATGACGCGGACATTATAATCGATAAATCCAATTAAGTTGTTGACACAAATCCTAAGCTTCGACGCAAAATTTTTAGTTAGTATACAACTCGTAATTATGTTTCGAACTTTCGAAGAGAAAAAGTTATTTTAATAATTACCACATGAGTAAGTTGAAGGTACATTCACCGATCGCCATCCGCCAAAACACGATTTCGTTTTGATTGCGGCAACGTGAAATCTAATATTGTTATCATTTATCTATTARTCAGCTGTTCGGTGTTTATCAATCCGTATTAAAGATAATTTTTATTATGATTATGATTTATTACGATTTATGGCGTTCGTGACTGCTAGAAAGTACACCACTATTCCTATTCCAGTTGATTATTAACTTTCGTGTCGACCTGTTCTATATATTATATTTGCGCAATGAATATTATTCCAAGGTTTGGAAAAAATTTTAAAAATGGATTGTTCAACATGACTAAAAAGTATACTACCCCAAGTGTCACTCCATCGAATCCCCCGCCTACGAATCCAAGTGTAACGCCTTCATTCAATTCAAGTAAATTTACTTTAAAATGTTTTATAAGGTCAATTAATGTTATATAGTATAATGTTTCATTGCTGGTGAATCATTTTCAAGCCTTTCATTGAATACATAATTTTATGGTGGAATAATGTAAAAAATAAACATAGGGTCCTACTTCTTAAATGTCCTAAAATTAAGGGCATAAAATAAAATAAATATAAACGTGTAATCTATTTATAAAAAATATATTTAGATTGTTATCATTGGCACAAATTGCACCTTTCCAGAGTATTATCTCGAGGAATCTCTTAATATTAAAATATGAAGTATTTAATCACTACAAAATATTCTATTTAATACTTTTTCCCTACAAAAACATTTTGTGTTTTTTGCAGACTAAATCATGTACAATTTATTTATATTATTCGGTTAGCTATAATAACRATGCTAATAATAATTATGTAATACAATAGTATTACTGTATTAGCTGAAATTGAGTATTAAATTATTTATTCATGACATTAAATGTTATTTATTTTTAAGCTATTTTATGCATTTGGTGATTAATTAGTTTATCTATTGATAAGAAAAAAAATGCACCCATTATTTAAATAATAAATATTACATAAAATATATTAAGTGTATTATAATGATTATCCATCATATTGCTTCTAGTACAATTTAATGGTAGTCATTAGCCCTAATTACATTTAGGATCAACAATTTTTTTTTTTATCTGTGCTATTAAAATAAAAATAATGTAAATAATATAACTACTACAAAACTGTAAGTCTGTTTCATATACCTAATTGTTATAAACACAAGTAGGTTATCAATTGTACAAATAAAACTCAATTCCCAATGTCTTTAAGTTTAATAGTTAAAATTAGTTAAAATTATTTGAACAAAAACAAAATGTGTTATGACGGTTTGATGGGAAAATTTTTATSTTAACATAGTCTAAGATATAATATTGAGATTTAACTATGAGTTGACTGTATTACTGATTTATAGGCTATAATTTGCAAAAACAATTTATATCTTTTAAATAAAGTATGTTTTATTTTATATATATTTTTTCTAGATATTAAACTCCCACTTTCAAATACAAGAAAAATCATGTGTGTCTGGGCTAAACGATACCCCTCACTAAAAGATGTTCCAGATCACGTCACGTATGGATTATTATTTGTTATTAACTAATTTTATTGTTTATTATGTATTTGTTTTAACTATCATTCACATGTATGTAGCTGCAAAAACCGCAAACACATAATACCCGTATAATGTTCCTTTGTAGTTATTTCACTTGGGCTTTGAATACTTTTTTGTCTCCTTTTTATATAGTCATAATAGTATTGGCTTTCTCATCTCAAATTTTAATGATGTAGCTTAACTTAATAACATTAATTTGTAGTATAGTTCCTTTCTTTCTATTATTAACAAATTTAGCAGGATATAATTGCTTTCATAGCTCTATGATTTAAATTTAAATTTAAGTTTCACTTATTATTCAATTTCCTTTTATGCATTTATTAAACAACTTCCTCAGTGTCTACAAAAGCCATTATTTTTGACATACTCACAAAACCTCTGTGAAATTGTCTGCTCTAAACTATAATATATAACTAATTGAATTATGTTTTATTTTGTGTAGACCTGAAGTATGGAACAAAGTTCGTTCTGTTGTACGAATCAAAGTGGCTAACTACACAATGTTCTTTATAATCTTGGGTTGTATTGCAATGGTTGTTACTGGCAAGAGAGCGCGTGACCGTGGTGAGACATTAATGCAAAGAAATTTGGATTGGCATCAAAAGTACTCGGAAGGAAAAGAAGACATAAAGAATATTGGTGTTTTTGGAAAATAATTAGTTTTAGAGATATCAATTATATGCATCCAAAATATTTGATTGTTAAAAATGTTTTATTTCTATTAATAGCTATTATGTAAGTCATTTAAAAAAAATGTATAGTTATTAGTTGATGCTTTTTTATGTGTTCACAAAGTTAATAAAATCATAAATATATTTTTTAATTTAAAATAAAGATAATCAGTACTTTACTTATGCAATGGGAAGTGCATCTATTACTTTTATCTTGATCATTAATATTATTGAATATTAATAATTAATGTAACAAGTTAATTGTTTATCACTATTTTTATGTATATGATAAATCTGTTATACATTGGGTTGTTGTGTTTTTAATATTACGGTTATTAACAAGTTGATAATTAATAGCAATTTTGTAATTATATAAAATATGGTTAAGGTTTATGAAGTAATTTATATGGGAAATATAATAGGTAATGTGCTAACAAAGTATAAAATAACTTATGAACAATGGTACACTATTCATGATAAATCAGTATACAAAAATAGTCTCTGTTTTACTTTAGTGTTTATATTGGAAACCATATTGCTAAATAATCAAAAAAATACCTATTTGAATTGCACAGATAAATAGATTAATCGTATAGGTATATTTACATAATATCTGAAATTAACCTCATTGATTTTTAGAATCAAGATTGGCTATCAAAAAATGTGTTAGACTGGATAAAAAAAAATGGGAAATTAGTTGATTACCCGATTAGGTACCTCATGTTTTAGAGAGAAATAAACTATTGGAATTGTAGTTACTTATCATTTTACAATTTGTATTTTTAATTAGGTAAACCTAATCATAATATTTTGACATGGTTAAATTATATTAAGTTTGACTAATGTTTTTAAATTTTTCCTTGAATTTATAATTAATATGATAATTTAGGAGATGATTTACCTAACGAATAATGATGCAATAAAATTAATGTATTTACTTATAATATTTTCCAAAATGCTATTTTTATTATTATTTAGTTTATTTACTCCGGTTGTCTTGGAATGAGACAAGATCAATTAAAAATTATTACCCATAAAAAAGACTGGGATTTTAATGCCTTAAAAAATTCAAAAATTTATTTCAGTACACTAAAAAGTAAGAAAATATTTTTAAATACAAAACACGCAATTACAAATTAAAATAAACATATTTAACTTGGGAGATCAATGTAGTTTCAAGTATAGTAACTATTCCCAATTTGTATCTAAAAATTATTGTYTCATGTATGATATTAATATTGCTTAAGTAGTTATACATTATTATATGTTGTTAAATAATATATACATATTATATTATTATAGTATTAAAATAAGGTACCTACCTATAATATTGTGAACAGCGGCATTCTAAAAATATCATGTTATCTGCATTGAATGTTACAAAATAGTTTCGTAAATCATGTGATATAGTTTATTTACGTGTACTATAGCAAGATTTGACGGATAAAGCGATTGAGGGAGCATAAGATAATTTTATTTTCTATTTCTATGATCTATTTATACGCCTTTTAAATCCTGTGGTTTATGTGGTCTTGTAAACGTAACGGATCGACGTTGTGTAAAATAAAAACGATAAATCCGTATCGGGAAGAGTAGAAAAGAGATAAAAATAAAGAAAACCCACAAACGAATAATAATACTACTGGGCGTGGGTAGTAAAAATTTGATAAAATCGAAAGGGAAAAATAACCATATACTGATGAAAGCGCGCTGGACAATATGCGAATAAAATCGTCTATACCTTCCCTTCTTTCTGCGTTGTTTTATGCTCAAATTTATTTCTACCACATAAATAGTAAACAATATAACTTAACTACTAAACATATAAATATTAAATTAAGGATCATCTTTGTTGTTTGTAATATTTAATGCTTTAATGCTCAAGCCCTAAATGGCTGTTTGAGTCTTAGGTATATGCCGTAGCTATCTAATTGTAAAAGCAAAGAGCCTATCTAAGTCTAATTTTTGGTTTATTTATTAATTATTAGTTATTACTTACACATTCATTAAGGATGAAAACTGGCTTTTGACTTGGAGGGGAGGGTGCTAGGGACCAAAAGCACCTCCCCCTAGTTGTGCCAATGCGGCTATAGGTATATATTTTGGTATCAATATTGAATTCAGAAGAAGATATAAAAAATAATTTAAAACCTGAACAAATTGTACCTATAGTTAAACTAATTAAATTTAAACTCAACAGAAATATCAGGACTTAGTTTTACTATTGATAATTTTAGGAGGGCCTCAATATATATGCATTAGTGTAGGTACTTAATATTTATAGCTATGACATAAATATAAAAATGTGGCCAAATCAGATATATTTATAAATTTTTGATTTGTTAATGTATTAGAACACAAAATCAAAGAACAAAAATAGTTCCGCAATGTTTTCAAAAAATAACTAAGGAATCAAATCAGGGCATGTGGTGTGTGAAGAAAGTACCTAATAATAATAATATTATGTATACGGTATACAATATAATATTTGTTATGATATAGGTGTATAATTTAATATACGTAAACGTATACCTACGTTAGTCCTAAGTATAGTCTAAATTATTATAATATAATGGATAGGTCAGGTTAAGTATAGTACGAGTAGGTATCTAACTGAATTCTGTTCATCGTTTATATCTCCGTCGTTATTGGCTATTTTCTCGAAAACCTATGCCGTGTTTTATATACTTACCTACTTATACACACCGGCCACCGGGTGTTCGTAATAGCCATTTTGACAAAAAGCGTTTATTCGATCGATGGCTTTGTTGTAGTACCTACCGTTGTCACATTTACATGCAAATTCAAAATCCAATTTCAAACAGAAGAAATTGAAATACTTTCAATGTTAAAAAATACCAACAAGGCAACAAATACAGTTAATGCGTAGTTTTTATTTTCCGTGTGTTGCTAAATAGGTACTTAATGTTCTCATATTTTTCTTCGATGTATATAGGTGTTCTGCATATTTTAAATTTAATATTTATATAGAGGTAGTTGGTAAACAAAAGAAAATAATGTTATTCTTGTTTTTTCAATAAAAATATTCAATGGAACCAAAAGTCATTGTTACTTGTACCTACCTAATGATTTTTATATAAGAAATGGTACACCGAGCAAGCTTACCCTCATATTTTCCCTTWAGTAATGAATTTATTTAAACACTGATTTTTGGAATTTTTAAATACACTTAGAGACATTGTTTTCAAATTCTTGAAATTTTTGTAGGTACCTACTATACATAGGGAGTGTCTTGTGGTGGTGATACACATRTCTGTTATTAATTCCTTTCCTTTCTGTAAATTATTCAGTGGATAATTTTTTTGGAAAATGTTGATGTTTTTATCTGATTGATTAAATATCCAAACGAGAAATTTTCAAATTATTAAAATGTTTATAATAATAGCCCAAAAAACAGTTTTTAAAAAAAATATAACAATATAGATGTAATATRGGATTTGGTATTATTTTATTTGGATCGTTTTTGATGATTATAAATGTTGAGAGATTAATATTATTTACTAACATTTTTCAAATCACCATATTCCTTATCTTCCAAACTCATTATTGTGGACACATTTTGAGTACATAAAGTCGCAATTCAGGGGCGTTATTTAGGGTACGACTGGGTGTACTTGGCATCCCTTATTTTTTCCACTTCTTATTAGTTATTGGCCGCTTTTCAATTATCCTCTTCGYCATGCCACTGACGAGGTATAATACCAAAATGCAGGACCTGCAAAATTCCACACAACAATTTCGGTCGGGCCTGCCGAAACCACCGGCTTCTGGACGGAGTCGGTAGACGATGAATCGCCCGAAACCTGCAGTGGCTGCAGTGACAGCTTCGTTGGGGCGGTAGATGGCGGGTGATCCGATCTCTGTGGGTAGCGGAAGATGGGGGATATGTGGAATGTGGTGGTCAGTTGGTTATTCCGGCCAGTGACATATCTCATGAAATACTATACCTAAAATTTGGATTTCCACGTGTTGTTATTTAAATCTAATATCAGATATGTTTCAAAATCAAATACACATTTTTCCCACCGAAACTTTGTTATCATTTTTAATATCACTTTCGATGTCAACGATRTCATAGTATAGGAAGTCAATAGTCAATWAAACAATACCATGTATAGGTGATAATGTGATATTATTTTATAATGTATTTATTATTGTTACCTAGCTATTTATACATTCTTAGTATTAATTAATACAGCTATAGGTATTTACTTCAATAATTAATTAGTATTAGGTTTTTAACAAATGTTTCATTATTTGGAAGTAMAAAAACGAATACATTGCAGACGATTAGGTAGATGAAACTATGAAAGTGAATTGAATAATGTAAGTAACCGCTCCGGTTGCCCTTGTGACAAATTTATAGGCTATTGTACAAAGAAAGAATACAATAAATAAACATATTTTTTCAGCTTCACTTATTTCACCAAGACATTTCATTCATTGATTTTTTGCATGTTTTTATTATTAACATTTTAATGGAATGATATTTCTCTTTCTATTATTATTACGCAGCTTATTGGTATTATTATTGGTGCTGCCATGGTTTCAAACGCCWAGTTCTAATGTATTTTATAAATGTCAGAGATTTTTTCATTAATTAGCAAATGTTAATGTATATAATAAGTCAATCGTTCTATGTACCTATGTAAACTTATTAGGACACGTGGCATACATTATTAGTTTTACACCAAAGTCTATTATAATATTATACGATGCACGAAAAAGTCCCGATTGTCACAGTACAGCACTCGTATTATTYCTTAAAATATAATGTATTAATGTCATATCAAAATTTTAATGCATGTTGCAAAATATTATGTTATTCTACCAATCTATCGTATGCAAAATTATTAGTATGAAATTAATAACACTTAAATTACCCAAGTTTTAATTCTTCTCTTCTGTTTTCAAATTTCCCCCCGACTATTTGTGTTTCTATACGGTTTGCGTACTTGTGTAAGTAGACATTCTATGGTAACAGGTAACAGCTTTTACTTTCCAAGGACAATTATATTATAACTAAAGGTATAGGTATTATTATTGTTGTCAACAATTTTTTTTCATTTTATTTAACCAATTCGATTTCGCCGTTTGATAATTGATGAACATAAGCTACCTAGCTTAAAGC